GATGGTTCCCTTATTGCATGCTGCAGATATTGAATATTTCCATTGCCTGAAGTCCAATTGGTAGTTAGTCCAGTGCCAATTCTGAGGTTAAAACCATGATTTCCAGCCTTTGCCGGTTGCATATGTGTGACTACCAGAGCTGAGCTTGAGCTATAAAGTTCAGATCAGAATCCAAACTTTTCCAAAATTGTAACATTCCGGGCGGCTGCCACCATGAGAAAACCAGCCTGAAAGCCAGTGACACTAGTGAGCACCAGGGGTCCCACATCCATACCTACTTGACATTTATATGAACAAAAAGAGCACTTGCAGTTACAATAGCTAGGATTTTTTTTTTTTGTAAATGACCAGGAGTATCAGTCTTTATGCTTCAGGCCATAAAATGATCACCAGTCGTGGTCGAAAAGGAATTCTAGCCAAGGGATAGTTTTGTATGGTTTAGGTTTATTTGGGTGTTTCAAAACTTCCTCTAATTCATTAGCCACTGTAAGGAGATAGGATACTGGCTTAAATAGACCATTGGTCCTAACTGGTATGGCAGTTCTTATGTACTTCTCTTCCACTTAATGAATATTGCAAAGATAGTTGTATGGCCAAAGAGAAGTAAAAATGTGCTGCTATCAGCATCACCTATCAAATGGCCTCCAATGCAATGGTGGTGCCTGTCAAATACCAGCCCAACCCAAAGTGCCTAGCCATAGAGCAAGTGTACAGGATGTAATGGTTGATGCCAAGTCATTGGCCTGGGAAGGTGTATATGTCATACTTCTGGCTAAAGCAGTAAGGATGTTGTGAAGGATAATTATTAGCGCCTATGGAATAATCCCCTCATGTACGTGCTCTCTCTCTGTCTCTCTCTCTCTCTCTTTGCTAGTGCAGTGGAATTTATGTTTGTGTCATTTGTATAAACTTGTTACAGAATGTTTCACAGCTGCTTACAGTCTATGTATGCACATACAAGTTAAATGTAGATTACAGTACATCTCATACAGCTAGCATCTGTATGGTGTAGTAAAACATGAAGTGGAAAGGAATCCAACAGTCAGAGAGAATGAATGAGTGCAGGGAGATTCAGAGAAAACAGGGCCTGGGGTGGCACATGCTAAGGGGCGGCATTCCGTCCATTCTTGGGGCGGCACAGTCCATTTTTTGCTTCGGCAGTTCGGGCGGCTTTTTTTTTTTGCTTGGGGCGGCAAAAATGGTAGAGCCAGCCCTGAGGGAGAAGGCTACTTAGGTAGAAATATGAAAATTGAGACATTGGTATCAAGAACACTGACTGGTAGTATAAATCCTGTGGATACATCTTCCTGAGGATTCTCCCCACATCAGAGGCACAGAGCCACCTGACTGGCATCTACACCACCCTTCAGCCTGGTGTTGTGGATGTGAGCAGGGGAAAGGGGCATGGCCATAGTATTCCTATATCCTGGCTATACTCAGTTGCCGGGGTTATTGGCAACTATGGGTAATTTAGGGCAGCTTTGCTGCTGATCTAACCTATTCCAGGAGCCAGGCTGGCTCCAGGATTGGAGGAGTCTAAAGATGCATCTTTGTTTTGTGGTACCCTTTTTTGGTATAGAGATGTAGGAAACCATTTTAGAAGCTTTGTTCATTTTCAAATGTATTTCCCAATAGACTCAGACTGATAACTGTTTGATGGGTGATTAGGAGTTGCAGTAGTGGGTCCCTGTTAGCCAATCAACCTGCAGTAGCTGTAAGATTATTTGTATACTAAAATTCTATTGTCTAGAATGCTGTGAAAGCTGATATGCACAAGTCATATATCTTTGAAAAATCATGGAGGAGGGGAGAGATATCAGAAGACTGGAAAAGGGCAAATATAGTGCCAGTCTATAAAAAGGGAAATAAGGACAATCCCGGGGAATTACAGACCAGTCAGTTTAACTTCTGTACCTGGAAAGATAATGGAGCAAATAAGTAAGCAATCAATTTGCAAACATCTAGAAGAAAGTAAGATGATAAGTAACTGTCAGCACGGATTTGTCAAGAACAAATCTTGTCAAACCAACTTGATAGCTTTCTTTGACAGGGTAACAAGCCTTGTGGATAGGGGGAAGCGGTAGATATGGTATATCTTGACTTCAGGAAGGCTTTTGATATTGTCTCACATGACCACCTCATAAACAAACTAGGGAAATACAACCTAGATGGAGCTACTCTAAGGTGGATGCACAACTAGTTGGAAAACCGTTCCCAGAGAGTAGTTATCAATGGTTCACAGTCATGCTGGAAGGGCATATCGAGTGGGGTCCTGCAGGGATCAGTTCTGGGTCCAGTTCTGTTCAATATCTTCATCAGTGATTTAGATAATGGCATAGAGAGTACACTCATAAAGTTTGTGGATGATACCAAGCTGGGAGGGTTTGCAAGTGCTTTGGAGGATAGGATTAAATTCAAAATGATCCGGACAAAGTGGAGAAATGGTCTGAAGTAAATAGGATGAAATTCAATAAGGTACAAAGTACTCCACGTAGGAAGGAACAATCAGTTGCACACATACAAAATGGGAAATGACTGCCTAGGATGGAGTACTGCGGAAAGGGATCTGGGGGTCATAGTGGACCACAAGCTAAATATGTGTCAACAGTGTAACGCTGTTGCAAAAAAAGCAACCATCATTCTGGGATGTATTAGCAGGAGTGTTGTAAGCAAGAGAAGCAATTCTTCCATTCTACTCCGCGCTGATTAAGCCTCCACTGTAGTATTGTGTCCAGTTCTGGGCGCCACATTTCAGGAAGGATGTGGACAAATTGGAGAAAGTCCAGAGAAGAGCAACAAAAATGATTAAAGGTCTAGAAAACATGATGTATGAGGGGAGATTGAAAAAATTGGGTTTGTTTAGTCTGAAAAAGAGAAGACCGAGGAGAGATATGATAACAGTTTTCAAGTACATAAAAGGTTGTCATAAGGAGGAGGGAGAAAAATTGTTCTTCTTAACCTCTGAGGATAGGACAAGAAGCAATGGGCTTAAATTGCAGCAAGGGAGGTTTAGGTTGGACATTAGGAAAAACTTCCTAACTGTCAGAGTGATTAAGCACTGGAATAAATTGCCTAGGGAGATTGTGGAGTTTCCATCATTGTAGATTTTTAAGAGCAGGTTAGACAAACACCTGTCAGGGATGGTCTAGATAATACTTAGTCCTGCCTTGAGTGCAGGGGACTGGATTAGATGACCTCTGTAGGTCCCTTCCAGTCCTATGATTCTATATATGTATTAGTGAAATCTATTTAGATAATAATGTAGGACTTTACATGGTAGCTGGCTGCAGGATTTTTGCTATATTTGTTAAATATTCACCAGTCTAGAGTCAACAGCTGACAGTAAATGCTGGTGACATCTGAAAACAAGTAGGCAAATTTGATGTGTAAAAGTGAATTTTAGAGCCAATTTTCAGCAGTAGATAGAGAGCAGAGTATACAGTATCTAATTCAAATAGGAGGGACACTGCCTGCCCTGAGGGAAATTATATGACTATAACAGAATCAAAATATTCTAGTGACAGTGTGAACCACAAGAGTCAATGAAACCCAAAGAACCTTAAAGTCACCATTCTTCTGTTTTTTAATTTATATTACACATAAATCAGACTCCTGGGTCTGTGCCCTATTTGGGATACCATTCCTTCCTTGCTTTGCTGTACCATGTCCCACGCACAACCTCTTTCCCCTCCCTACTATCCCCACCCTGCATATTATGCAGTCCTTTCCCTGCTGCCTCCCTTTTTGCCACTTTCATACCCCCACCTCCTTTACTTTACCCCTAGTTCTTGGTCACTGCTGCTGCCTCATGCTACTCTGCTTATTATGTGCACTCATTTTGTCTGCCATTGGAGTAATTTTTCCATCACACTCCAAGAGCCCAATCTCTATTGGTTTAATGTCATAATCCATGAGGATGATGTCATACATGTGAAAAGTGTGGATGGGATCTCATCATTCACAACTGAATGAATTATATTTTACATGGATTCTAATGTGATATTTTATAAATGTTTATGATGTGAACATTGTGAAAGGAGGCTTCTGGTTGGATGATGTGTAAGTACCTGGTATAGTCACACAACAAGCCGGGACTTTCTTTTTTTTAACTTGTTCCCTGAAAATCATGTAGACCTTTCAGTTCACCTTTATTTACCTGTGGCTTTCCAAACACTGGACAAATGCAACATAGATAAATAGGTGACATCATGAGAGGGCATGGAAACGATTCACCACTTGCACTATAAGAAAACAAATGTGCCACCTGGCCTAAAATTAAAAGTCAAAGACACTGGTGAACAGAGAATAAATACACCCAAACTGCAACAAGCATAAAGGGGCAGTATCCTGAGATGCAAGCAAAGTAGGTACCAGGAACAGTTAGCTCAGAGAGAGAGAGAGAGAGAGACACTGAAATAAATGTCAAAGCTTCTCAAATGTTGCATTAAGGGGGCTATCTGGAGATGAGATTGCTTTACCTTCAGGAAGGATATTTTATTAATATAAAAATAATAGTTTGTCCACTCAATATTTTAATCGTTTTATATTTACAATCACTCTAAGAGGGGTGTGACTATACTGGAGAAAGGTACCTGCACTATTTAGGTGGCAGAAAGCAACAGAATGCACCAATAGTGTGAGGGTATCTAATATACATTCACAACATGTCCTCTGTTCATTGTAACACTTATTGTAATTGGTTAATTACCTGCCACTGTAGCGGACAGTACAAAGATTCTATGCACTTCATGTACTGAATATATGCTGCATGCCGAAGTATACTGCATCTATTCCCTGCAGCTACATAATACTATATCTGTATTGTGTATATGCTACATGGGCTTACACAGCATGTTTTATCTACTGTAAAAATAGGCTGCATGTATTGCGTGTATGCTGCATATTCTCTTCTACACAAGGGCTCCTTTAAAGATAAGTATTCATAGTTTCTATTGGATATGTTATTCTTCCCATCCCTTCCTAAGAACACTGTTGTATAGTGTAGCTGGCGCAGAATGGCTGCCGCGTTACACTCCAGAGGTCACTATTCCAGCAGTGGGTGAGTGATTCCTATATATACAGTTTGTAAAGTGCTTTCAAATCCTTCTGGATGAAAGGCGCTACATGAAGTGTAAGACAAAACGATTATTCCTTCGTTGTCTTTTATTCCAGCTACATACAAGCTCTGAATGATTAAATATCAATACATTTCAGCTAGAGATTGAGTTCTGGCTGCTAAATTCAAATCCAGATTTCAAATACCCTCAAATTGACAGATTCAGTTCTGGGCTTTTGTTTGGACCCAGCTCTGATTTCAACTTAGCCTAGTCTAAATTTCCTTCTCAAAACAGGTGCAAGCAAGTGAACTTTGACTTCACGAGTTTCTAATCTTTTCGTATTATGCAAGATATTTACGTAAGTAATTCCTATTTCCACTAAAGGGAGTTAAGCAAGTAAAGCTCCCTGTTCATGAAGAGAAGAATAGAACCCGATGTTGCATCTGCATTGAAACAGTAACATAGAATGCTGGCTTCTCCTTCAGCATTAATAGGACACATTCTGCCATAGAATTGTGCATTGGCTGTAATAATTTAGGAGTTGTGTATAACATAATTCTATCTACAATTTACCTATTAGATAATATAGAAGATGGGATTTAAAAACTATCTTTTCCCTTCTAGTGAACATCAGAAAATAGCATATATAACTAGCAATCAAGGTATTTTGTGACCTGGAGGATATTTGGGAATTACTTATTTTCACTTCTTAAACATATTAAAGAAGATAACAGCTGTTAGGAGGGAGTTCTAGACTTTGCTATTTTGCTGTTTAAAAAAAACCCTAATCTCCTTTTATCAGCTTTGACATACAGTGGACCAAATCTTGCAGTCCATATTGATACAAAACTATTTCTATGTTCCAGATCACATATTTTGATCACAGTCCTTCTCCAGAGTTTGCTTAGGACTATGCTCCAGTGGCATAAGTTAGAGCAGCCCCAAGGCTGCTCTAACTGATACCAGGACTGGCACAAACTAGTTCTCAGAATCAAGGAGCCATAACTGCTCCTTGACTGAAGAAGATCTTTCTCTCATTAGGTATGAGATTGTAGGGATGATCACCAAGATTTGCAAATGGATCTCTAGGAATTGGTGGGTTTTGAAGTTTGTCTTAGTTCTTTGCTCGTTTTATACTTGGAGGCTATTGTACATTTTACTGCTGTTTGCCATGGTAAAGTACAATGCCTTGGTGAGGTAAACACTTTAAGAATAGGAAATACTCAGTAAATTGAAAATAGAGCGGGGATGGATAATGTTAATTTTAATTCACCTGTTGTCCAAGCATGTGCCCATAGAGATATAGCCAGAAACACAACCGGGGCAGGGGAGGAAGGGGAAAGAGCGAACACCCAAGCTTTTGATTTTGGAGAAGAGTAAACTATAGTCGCTTAGACTAACTGTGAGCACTAGTGAGATAGAATATCACAGTCAAATGTCTCCAGATAAGAGGTCCAGTCTGCAATGTTTTGGAAGGAACTCTTGAGAACACAGTGGTAAGGAGTGGTTGGCATGGCTGGAAATGAAGTGAGCTGCTTTTTGTATACCTAATGTTGAAAGCTTGGTTTGTATTACGTGCTTGGTTTGTATTCTCTGTAAGGCATGTTTTTTGGTGGTATTGTCCATTACTTTTGTGTATACTAATTTAAATGTTTTTAATTTATGTGACTGTGTGGATTTAGTGTTCAACTAAGTTATTTTACTTTATCATTATTGGGTTTCTTTAACCTTCTTTCATATTTATCTTTTGTTTTCTTAATTTGTTACTTATCTTATGTTGGCAACATGTCTTTTTGTGGAAAAAGTCTAATAAAAAGAACATTTAAAAAATGAAATTTCCCTAAGATCCATACAGAAATCTAGCAATGAAAAGATGGACAGTGTTGGAAAATCTCTTTCTCGAGGAACAGTTTGGTGGGTAGCAACACTCTCTTGTTCAATACCCAATTAATGTGCCTGCGCCACTTTAGTTAAGATTTGCTTCAGTCCAAAATGTCAAGAATATCTATCACCACATGAGAAATGTCATGTTCAAGCCTAAACCCAGGTTTGATTGAAGTACCATTTGTTTGCCTCCAAAAGAAAGATGTACATAGCTTCAAGTCTCAGCTCTCCTGGAGGGTGATTTGCATAGGGATCAAACAAACAGGGGAAATGGCAGCAAGGAGTGTATGCAGGGGGCAGGTGGCAGGAAAACTGACTGTTATATCTGAATCCATTTCTTGAAGTCCTAACTTGATGTCAAAGGAGGGTGGCAGGAACTGTGGACAGGAACTCTCATAGCCTTAAACTCATCTGGTCTGGGTCAGTCTGGCGCGGGAAGCCCTCCCACATACCTCCTCTTTGCCATCCCATAACCACCAAATTCCCCATAGGATAAACACTGCCCAGGTAAGTAATTGATAGAGTGCATGCTGATTGCTGATTAGTGCATGCTGATGCTGATAATGTCTGCATGTGTCTGTGTGCTGGCCAGAGCACATTAAAGTATTCTGAAACCACAAAAACTGGCCAAAACAAAACTTTCTTTTTTTGAAGACGGTTACTTCACAATTTCCTCCAAATCTCCTAGCTATGAGAACGGCAGCCCGTTGTATACAGCGTTGTATACATATTTCCGTTGTATACAGCGTTAGCAAAGTACAAGATGGGGAATAACACAACACACAAAGACGCACAATCCGTTAAAGCAGGCTAGAAAGAAATGCTGTTCTCTATTTATGCAGAGAGACTGATGGAAAGTTTGCTTTCATTTGGCTTTTTGCCTCTATGGGGCAGTTGTGCTTAATTACTGTATTACACTTCATTAAGAAGCTGAATGTTAATGGAATTTTAAATCTTAATTCAGCAGCAGGTCAGCTAGGGCCCAAACCTGCAAGATGTTAATCATCTCCTGAGACATAGTGAGTACCCTTCACTTCAATAGATTGTGGCATGAGCTGAGGGTGCTCAGCATCTCAGAGGATTGGATCCCTAAGTCCCACAGCTGATCAAATAGTAGAATGGACTGGACAGTCAAAAGTCAGATTCTGAATATGAATCGCCAAAGTCCTTTTAAAGAATTCCCTGAAAATTCCCTTGGGGTTAATCCAGTTTCAAATTACACACTGCTTCCCCACCACAGCCACAGTCTGTCCCTATTTCTAAAACTGCAACTACTGCAAATGGTAGAGTTCAAGAGTAACAAACTCATTCCGCTCCATAAACAGAGCTGAGGAGTACCTTCCCCACCTGCAATAGATATGGACTGGATCCTCTCTTGACACCTACAGTGAAGTACAACTGTTTGCAGGGGAACAGCTGAAAAAAGGAACTAACACCTTTTCCTTTCCAAAACTCTCCAGCAATACCCCTAAAGCTGTAACATACTGTTTGAGTGAGAAAAATCTGGCTAGTTGGTTGTTGCTGCTATAACTACCAATGAAGAACATCTTGCTGCTGAAAGACTTTAGGTGTGGGGGGTTTTTTGGTTGGTGGTTTTTGTTTGTTTTTAAGATTTAGCCCCTGTTGAAGGTCTACTCCCACGACCATGCCCACTTTTATCCTTGACTTAAGTGGATCAGCATATGTGTTTGACAGTCAGAAATCAATATTTGGTGGGTGTAGGCTGAAATCAAAATCATATACTGTATAAAGCCAGCCAACAGCACCATGGCAGGATGGGAGGGAAGTTGGGTTGGTTTTATTTTTGATAGATACAAATGGCAGAAAATATGCATTTTGTTCAGAACTTCTATTAAGAAAGTGCAAATCCAGAGTGTCATATTTTACCATCATAGCCACACTGACAGCCAAACCTTGGACTCCTTAGTCAGCGCTCCCAACAAGGCAATTTTCACCGGGTCAAGACTGTGGGATTTGGCCCAAAATATCCTTTGGGGTTTTAACCTTTTTGGCATCTATCATACCTAAGTGAGGATCAATTTAACTGCTTCCAGTCTTCCTCCTGGTTGACTTCTACATCTCAGCTAGACAAGTCCCAAAGATGGGACATGATATTGGGATCAAATTAACACAAACCCATACTCACAGACCCCCTACTTTGCAAGCTTTGCACCCACAATCACTGCCTTCATAAATAACAGAATTTGTGTGAGAAGGATTCAGAAATCCAATTTGTCAGGGGAGGCTGATGTCTCAAAGTGAGGCTATGAAACTGACAGCAAATTTTGTAGAAAAATGGCATTGTGATAGCATAGACTGCCCCTTTAAAGGCAGTGGTGCCTAGGGCCCAGCCAGCCCAGCCCATTCCAGTCACAGGACATGGCCCTTTAAGATTTTGAAAGGTCTGATACAGAATCATAGAAGATTAAGTTTGGAAGAGACCTCAGGAGGTCATCTAGTCCAATCCCCTGCTCAAAGCAGGACCAACCCCAACTAAATCATCCCAGCCAGGGCTTTGTCAAGCTGGGCCTTAAAAACCTCTAAGGATGCAGATTCCACCACTTCCCTAGGTAACCCGGTCCAGTGCTTCACCACCCTCGTAGTGAAATAGTTTTTCCTAATATCCAACCTAGACCTCCCCCACTGCAACTTGAGACCATTGCTCTTTGTTCTGTCATCTGCCACCACTGAGAACAGCCTAGCTCCATCCTCTGTGGAACCCCCTGTGATGGGTTCAGTCACAGAGAGTCCCCTTGGGACTGTCAGCTGATGTGCCAAAATTACCTCTGAGCCCGTTTTCCCTGCCAGTTTGGGACTTCCAGAACCCTGCCTTGTTGAGCCAGACATGCTAGCTTGTTGCAACACAGATTCAGGGTTTGGGCCACACCCCCAAAGCTGCAGACTTTTACCAAAAACAGCTCAGCAGGTTACCTCTCCAGCACCCAGACATCCAGTTCCCAATGGGATCCAACCCCCAAATAAATCTGTATTACTCTGTATAAAGCTTATACAGGGTAAATTCATAAATTGTTCACCCTCTATATCACTAGGTATTAATCACTTACTCTGGCTTTATTAATAAACAAAAATGATTTTATCAAGTATAAAAAGTAGGATGTAAGTGGTTTCAAGTAATAACAGACAGAACAAAGTAAGTCACCAAGCAAAATAAAGCAAAAACATGCAAGTCCAAACCTAATACATTAAGAAACTGATTACAGGTAATATCTCACCCTCAGAGATGTTCAAATAAGCTTCTTTCACAGACTAGACTCCTTCCTAGTCTGGGCCCAATCCTTTCCCCTGGTACAGTCCTTGTTAGTTCCAGCAGACATCTTAGGTGGTAAGCAGGGGCTTTCTCATGACTGACCGCCCCCTTTGTCCTGTTCCACCCCCTTCTATAGCTTTGACACAAAGCGGGAATCTTTTGTTTCTCTGGGTCCCCACCCCTCCTTCTAAATGGAAAAGTACCAGATTTAAGATGGATTCCAGTATCCTGTGACATGGACACATCCTGTGAGACCTCATTCTTCATTACCCACAGGCTGGCCCACACATACACAGAAAAGCTTAGAGGTAAATAAACCCATTCACAGTTCATTGATTCTGAAGCACCCTTAATGGCTTCCACTAAATATGTTTACAACCGTAATACAAGTTTATATCTTATTCTCTTAACTCCAGACATAGAAATAATACATGCAAACAAATAGGAAGAACACACTCAGTAGATTGTAGTCTTTGTAATGATACCTTACAAGAGACCTTTTGCATAAAGCATATTCCAGTTACATCATATTCACAAGCATATTTTCATAAAGCATATGGAATGCAACGTCACACACCCCTTCAGATAGTTGAAGGCAGCTATCAAATCCCCCCTCACTCTTCTCTTCTGCAGACTAAATAAGCTCAGTGCCCTCAGCTTCTCCTCATAAATCATGTGCCCCAGCCCCCTAATAATTTTTGTTGCCCTCCGCTGGACTCTCTTCAATTTTCCACATCCTTTCTGTAGTAGGGGGTCCAAAACTGGATGCAATACTCCAGATGTGGCCTCACCAGTGCTGGCAATGCTCCTACTAATGCAGCCCAATATGCAGTTAGACTTTTTGGCAACAAGGGCACACTGTTGACTCATATTCAGCTTCTTATCCACTGTAATCCCCAGGTCCTTTTCTGCAGAACTGTCGCTTAGCCAGTCGGTCCCCAGCCTGTAGCAGTGCATGGGATTCTTCCGTCCTAAGTGCAGGACTCTGCACTTGTCCTTGTTGAACCTCATCAGATTTCTTTTGGCCCAATCCTCCAATTTGTCTAGGTCACTCTGGACCCTATCCGTAGCCTCCAGTGTATCTACTTCTCCCCCTCAGCTTAGTGTCATCCGCAAACTTGCTGAGGGTTCAATCCATCCCATCATCCAGATCATTAATGAAGATGTTGAACAAAACCAGCCCCAGGACCGACCCCTGGGGCACTCCACTTGAAACTGCCTGCCAACTAGACATCGAGCCATTAATCACTACCCGTTGAGCCCAACGATCTAGCCAGCTTTCTGTCCACCTTATAGTCCATTCATCCAATCCATACTTCTTTAACTTGTTGGCAAAATACTATGGGAGACCATATCAAAAGCTTTGCTAAAGTCAAGGTATATCACGTCCACCGCTTTCCCCATATCCACAGAGCCAGTTATCTCATCATAGAAGGCAAAAAAAGTATTGAGTACTTCATCTGTCACTAGGTTGCCTCCCCCATTCAGTAAGAGTCCCACACTCTCTCTCTCTCTTCTTCTTGTTGTTAACATACCTGAGGAAACCCTTCTTGTTACCCTTCACATCCCTTGCTAGCTGCAACTCCAATATATACAAGGACTTATGAGACATTGTAGAGAGGAACTGCGCCTGGGAATAAGTGGTGCTTGGGAGGAAATCCCATCACTGTTTGTTTATGGGCCCAGAACCAGGAGCTTTGCAGAATGGGCAGAGCAAAGCCCCCCTGTTCTCAGGCAGTTGGGATGAGCGTTAAGGAAGGGGACGAGATTATATGCTGTCTCCACCCTTGTAGCAGGAAAGGACTGACCTGCTGACACTTGTGATCCTGGGGACCAGCTGGGGAAAGGGGCCAGCTGAAAGAGAAGCTAGCTAAGGCCCTACAGATGGTTGAAATCATAACCCAGCTCCAAGGAAGAGCATTGGGGACTTCTGTCTTAAGAGTGAGTGACTGACCGAAGTACAACCCAGCTCTGGGAGGAGGGCTGGGTCTTCCCGAACTGGAGCAAGAAAATCTATCAAGACTCTTATATGGTGCCAGAGTGGGTGTTAACTTGAGCGACATAGGGCTGGTCTACACTGGGGGGGGGAATCGATCCAAGATACGCAACTTCAGCTACGCGAATAGCATAGCTGAAGTCGAAGTATCTTGGATCTAATTACCTGGGGTCCACACGGCGCGGGATCGACGGCCGTGGCTCCCCCGTCGACTGCGCTACCGCCGCTCGCTCTGGTGGAGTTCCGGAGTCGACGGTGAGCGCGTTCGGGGATCGATATATCGCGTCTTAACGAGACACGATATATCGATCCCGGATAAATCGATTGCTACCCGCCGATACGGCGGGTAGTGAAGACGTACCCTAAGTGAGTTACACTCTGCAGTGAGTTACACTCTGCAGAGAGAGGTAATAAGCCACACCCTATGAAAGGGATCTATGTTTTGAACTAATCTGATCTGGGTAATTGATTGAAAGAACCTGAGTGCTGAGGGCAATGCACCTGCAGGGCCAGGAGGGGGCAGACTTGAGGGCAGCTCCCCATGTCCACTTAGCGGTAGTAGCAATGGGAGCTGGGACCCTCTCCGATCCCGGATGAATGTGAACAGTTGCAGTTGGAGAATGGAGCAGAAATGCTGGAAGAAGGTCTCCTCTCCCAAGCTGATGTATTGGGGCACAGATGTGATCTCTTGCATTCCTATGCCAGTTGCTGGAGGAAGCAGAGTCATCCAAACAGATCCTGGCAGTCCTCTGGCAAATCTGGAAGACACAACAAAAACAGTGGGATCTGCAGCTGGCCAGGGCCGCAGAGCAGCACCAAACCATGCTGGAGAGCCTGTGTAAGGCCGCTGTCTATGGCATCAGGGCTGGAGAAAAATGGTATTTGTGACCACTTCCTCTCTGTCAATATCGCCTAGATCCTTATATATATCAGACCTTTCAAAATTTTAAAGGGCCATGCCACATGATAGGGGAGTGCTGCTCCCTAGACACCACTACACTGAATGGGACAGACTACTCCGTCACAGTCATATTGCATCTCTTTTAAATCAGGGAGGACAGTGCCCACCCTGCCTTTCCTGAGGCGCCACTATCACCTTCTGTTCTGGATACACACATTCTTTCATTTGCATGCAAAAGTGATGGTGCTAACAAACGTTGAGGCACTTTTTGAAAAACTGTGGCATGTGGCTTATGGCCAACCAGAGAGAGCTGGGTTTGGAAGGAACGTTGTGTCAAAATGCAGGACTAACTCGCTCTCCCGAGGATGACCAGGTGCGTAGCCACTAAGGAACTGTACGGCACTATGTCTTTTATTTCAGCTCTCTCAGCTAACTCCACAGGCGAAGCACCACACTCAGCAACATTTTGTGGATTTATGTCTTTCTGTGGAGGACTTTGGGAGTATAAAGCAATGAAGGGATTACGAAGGAAACATCCATACAGCGAGTCAGATCCTCAGCTGGTGTGGGTCGGCATTGCTCCACCCAAGTCAACGGAGTTAAGCTGATTTACACCAGCTAAGCATGTGGCCCAGTATTTTCATCTGTGAATTTTACTCCCCTGTTGTTTGTATTATACACAGGAAATTGTCACCCTTTTTCCTCACAAAATTTAGTTTTCAAAATGTAAAAGGAAAAGAAAGACCTGTATAAAGAGAAAAGGCTAAATCAAACCCTTCCAGCTTTGGGGGTGGTCAGATCCAGATCCAAGGTTTGTGCCTGGGACCTAACTCTGTAGTGGGCTGAACCACAACCCTGCACCTAAATCCACCCGAACATTGGGGCTCTTTGGTTTCAGAGCTGAAATTTTCACTTACGGGCCCTTCTCTACCCATTGCCAAAAATATACAGAATCAATTTGTCTAGGTACTTCTGTGAACCCCCTCCCCCATTCTAGCTTCACACAGAATATATATGTGACCGTTGATTTGGCATCATCTTTTGAAATTTCATATTTTGCAAAATGGGCATAGATTCGTTTATTGTTTTAAAACACCTTGTAGCTCTTTATCTGAGCCTCAACACCATACTATCTCAATCCCTACCAGTTTATTGACAAATTTATCCTTCCAGAACTCTAAGGTGCAGAGAGATTAAGCGATTTGTCCAAGTTCACACACAGGAAGTCTGTAGCAGAGCTGGGAACATAGATCTCCTGGCTACCAGGCCAATACCTTTACCAAAAGACTCTGCAGATGGTGGGAAAGGGGTGCGGAGATGAGTGTCCTGCCTTTGCCTCGGAAGAGCAAGAGCAGATGGTGAGAGCCTGTGGCAGAGGAAGGAACAGCTTCTTGGCAACAATCCCTGTCCTGATTCAAAGGACTAACCCCTGCTAGCTGGTCACTAGGGTGACCAGATGTCCTGATTTTATAGGGAAAGTCCCAATTTTGGGGGCTTTTTCTTATATAGGCACCTATTACCCCCCACCCCCATCCTGATTTTTTACACTTGCTATCTGGTCACCCTACTCGTCACCAACATTTCACCTGTCAGTTACCCCTTCTGCTGCTTTAACAGCTGTGGGGATGGGACCCCAACCTCCATTTTCAGACTCATTCTCTGCTCTCCATGAGACCAAGCAACCCCTTACTCTGCTGTCAGCTACCCCAGTCCCTCTGAGCAGCCTGGCCCTAGGAACAATTTAAACATGCACACATTAAAATCAGCATTGAGGGTGGGACCCCCATTTACTCCTCACCCCAAGCTGGACTGTTAAACATGAAAGCAACATGGGGATGGGGGACTGGATGTCCTTCTTCCAGCAGAGAAGCTGTGACACTGTTCGCTGACTGCCTGTCAGCTCTCCTCCCTCCCCCCAACATCCTCAGCCAGCAACTCCCCTCTCTTTACTTGCAACAGGAAGTGGAGACCAGGGGTCAAGATTGGGCCAAGTTATGAAGCTTTGCAAACCACACATTGTTCATGTGCAGTACATTTTTAACAAAAATCTGCCAACATATGGATGGGTGGTAAATTGTACTCCACCTGTGGGCATAGTTAATTTTATATATAGTTAAAGAGCCACATCTCTGTGTAACATCAAACCTCCGTCTACAATTTTTTTTTTTTTTTTTACCTACTATTGTTACAAGTTACACCTAACAACACTATAACAGGAAGAGAACAGAGAAAAAACATTTTTCTTTATTTTTCAGTTTGTTTACTTTATGCATTTTATATGTAGTCAATTTCACTGTGTCATTTGTTTCCCTTTGCTCTTTGTGTGGGTCTTTGAAACAGCAATAAATAAGACTTTTCCAAAAATGTGGATATTTTGGCTAAATACAGTAACATAAAATAGGCTTTGTATAAGACCTGTTAGAGGTAGCAGAGCTCTGCTATTCCTTGTAAGCTTATTTCAATATTTTTTTTATAATAGGAGAGTATTATTGTCACACAAGAAAAAATGACCAGGGAGATGTCGCAGCTGCTGAACTTACCTGAAATTACATGTAACCTATTTTTAAAACCTGACTAGCTGTAAAGTTGGCAATGTCCCTTTAACAAGCACATCTCTGAAGGTACATAAGAAAGAAGGTAGGGCTGATATGCACTGACTGGGAGCTGGTATCGTATGGTGCAAGGGGAATCCAATGGAGGGATTCAAATCTGGTAGTGACATGGGCACCTGAGTCTTAATCCTATACTTATTGAAATCAATGGCAAAGTTCCTGCGGACTTCAGTTGTGCAGTATCGGGGCCCTGGAGAGCAAAATTCCTTTAGTGTTTTGAATGGCCTGGAGGAGAGCAAGCAGGGAAGCCAGAGAGGTGGAGTTTGCAGTAGACATGGTGCGAGATGACTGAGGTGTGGAGAAAGGGGTTTGGTAGAAGGGAAGGGAGTGATTAAAACATCTCTAAAATATGTTTGTCCTAAATTTATTTCTGTTGGACTGATAATCAGTATCCAGAGTTGTGTGATATGAGTTTGAGCCGAGTGCCCAGGTGGCTCATGTCCTGAGTACAGCCCAGTACACACTGGAAGGAAGCCGTCAGAATACTCATAGGCTCAATTCTGCAACCTTTACTTACACTGAGCAGCACTTACTCATGTGACTAGCCCTATTGGTTTCAATAGGTCTACTCCCATGGATAAGTACTCTTCAGTGTGAGTAAGGGAGCTAGAATTGAGCTTTACATTGACTAATTCTCATACCATCACTCAACTTCTTTTGACACTAAGAGATTAAAGTGTAACCCCCCTGAGCTAATGCCAGTGGCCAGACTTCAGTGTCTGAGCTGATACCTGTCTTGCTGAACATTCAGCTGAACCTCATTTCATAGATGCCAAGGCCAGAAGACACCACTGGGATCATCTAGTCTGACCTCCCATATAGCACAGGCCAGAGAACTTCCCCACAATAATCCCTAGAGCAGCGTTTGTAGAAAAACATCCAATCTTGATTTTAAAATTGCCAGTGATGGAGAACCCACCACATTGCTTGGTAAGTTGTCCCAATGGTTAATCACCCTCATTGTCAAAAATGTACATCTTATTTCCAGTCTGAATTTGTCTGTCTTCAGCTTCCAGCCATTGGATCGTGTTGTACCTTTCTCTGCTCGATTGAAGAGCCCATTATTAAATATTTGTTCCTCCTGTAGATATTTATAGACTATAATCAATTCAGCCCTTAATCTTCTCTCTGTTAAGCTAAATAGATTGAGCTCTTTGAATCTGTCACTATAAGGCATGTTTTTTAATCCTTTAATAATTCCCGTGGTTCTTCTCTGAACCCTCTCCAGTTTATCAACATCCTTCTTGAATTGAGGGGAACCAGAACTGGACAAGTATGCCAGCACCAGTCTAATACAGTGCTTAATACAGAAGTAAAATAACCTCTGTACCCCTTCTCAGGAGCCCCCTGTTTATGTATCTCAGGATCATATTAGCTCTTTTGACCACAGCATCACACTGGGTGCTCATGTTCAGCTAAGTATCCACCAGGACCCCCAAATCCTTTTCTGAGTCACTGCTTCCCAGGATAGAGTCCCCCATTCTGTAAGTATGACCTATGTTCATTATTCCATTGCAAGATCAGGTACCTGAGGCACAGAGGGGTTGAAATACCAAGAGTTCTGTTACATGCAATTTACTGCCCCTGTGTGAGCATTGGCATGGGTAGGAAACCACATGCTCCCGTCACCACCCGTAAGTGGCAGGCACTTATCCCCTGCACTCAGCTGCATCTGCACCCTTTCAACCATTTCAGTCTCCTGCCCTTCATGCTCAGTCACGGCCCAGCTGCTTGAGCAGGCTGGTCTTTTTTACTGTGCAGCAGCTTCACTCACAGCTTGGCTTTCGTCTTCTGTTTGTTTCTCTAGGGAAAGTCTCTGGCAGGCAAGCGCCTCACAGGCCTGATGCAATCCTCCTGACAGCCTCAGCTGGACAAGCAGTTGCTGACATCCCTGAAGGACAGCTGCACTCCACCTCCATGGAGGAAGTTTCATTTTGGGGAGAATGGGTCACTGTGAGAGAGAGTGCGAATGAGAGCAAGGGGAGACAAAGGAGCGCAAGGTGGAGAGATCAGCTCACCGGAGGTTCCTCTTTTCATAGTTTACATCAACACTTTCTTACTTGTACAGCTTTGTAATGACACTGAGTTCTATAAAGGTACTTTGGTTCCTACTTGGTTCAAAGGAGCACACTTCATTGTACACGAAAGGTCAACAAGGCAGAGGGCTTAGTAGCTTATGAGGAAAGGAATCAGTCCCAACCATAGCCTAGAGAAAGAAGAGCTGAGCGAGATCAGTATTTACCCTTCATCTCTTCTCTCCCTGGTAAATGCCACCACCATCATGGCCACTTGCTCGCTTTCTGGTGACCATCCGGGTCCAATAAAATATCTACTAGAAGCTGCTTCTCCTGCTCAAAAAATGCCTAATTCACGTCTGCTGTGGATGGAAGCAATTTAATTGACTTTATATTTTTTTTCGTTCCTCTCCTCTTTTAAACCAATGGTTGATAAAGCACTTTTTAGCTCTTCACTTGCTGTCCTTCCAAGGGCATGTAGCATGTCCAAAGATACATGGCCAGATCATCAGCTGAAGACAGTGGAGCTTTAATGATTTACACTAGCTGAGGATCTAGCCCATACAGTCAGATGCTGATCTCTGTGTAAATCCTCTGCCTTCAGCAGAGTTACTCTGCATGTACATTAGCGTGATCAGCATCTGCCCCATGGTCACCAGGCAATGTTTTAGATGTATAATATATACACACATAGTGATATGTTTAATATTGTATTTGCTTTCCTATTTCTTTTAAGATTTTTTTACATACTTATCATTTTTTTTTCAATTTAATTGAAAATAGCTTGACCTGAACCACTTTGGGAAAACTTCTAGCCACTCCAAACAGAGAGGGCCAAAATCTGCACATTTATGCAGGTAAAGCTAACTCAATTGACCTCAGTTGGTCACTCAGGATTTACAACTGAGGGGAAAATTCAGAGAGGAGAGGATTCCTGGTTAAGGTTACCCAAGGGTGGAGCAGAAGCATGTTGTGAATGGGTCAGGGATTTTGACACCAGAGAACACTTTTTGAATAGTAATGGGCACTGCCAGGTCCTTTCTTTAATTCTCAGCTATGCCATTCCTCTGGGATGTGCCATTTCTAATAACATTAGAAAAATGAGGATTAGCTGAAACTTTGTGTGACATCAGGCCCAGGAGTACACCTGGAAGAATGACCCAGAGGCTTCCCAACACTGTTCTCAGTAGTCTCTGTAAGGGCTGAGAAATGTGTCTTGGGAGAGGGGAGGACGAGGAAAGAACTGAAGTAAACTAATTCATTTGGCTAATAATAAAACCCAGGTATAGTAGCTGCAGAAGTGGAAAATGACCTGTAGTCACCTGCAGCATATTGTACATATACAAAACCTTCCAAAATCTTTACCAAATGTGGCTCAGTTTGTTAGTGCCACAAAAACTGCCTAATGAGTGATGATAGTTTTAAGTTCATGAACTAGCAAGTGGTTCACAATAAGTACCTGTCTATTGCCTTTCTTCACTCACACACTAAGATGTCTTTTGGTGCAGGTGGTAGAAACTTCTGATAAAGGGTCCAATCCTGCATTCCTACTCAGGCAGAACTAGCTAGCTTATCCATTTAGCTATCTACAATATATGTGTAATGCCGACAGACCCCGGTCGCTAGCGGGCAGGATCGAACCTGGGTATGAGTATCTACCGTATGAGCTAAAAGCCACCTGCCTGTTAGCTAAAGCTGTAGAGCAGACTCATTAATCTCTAAGTGGCCTCGGTGCCACTAGATGGGACAGAACACCATACCCAGAAGGCGTGTGAGTTACATATGCACTTCAGATGCACTAGTATCTAAGCTCTATGTATATTCAAAATTAGGATAACACAATTTCTGTCAGAAAAACTAGACCTCTTCCTCTTCTCACTCCCCGCTGAAATGAAATGCCCCACAAGGACACTTTATTGCTTCCAGGAAACTCGTGTTGTGTTTCAGGATACATCAATGGAAGTTTTGCCTAAGTGAGTGCAGGATCGGGCCCTTTGTCTGTATGAATATACAGTAGAGCTTTGAGGGGTGATATTTGTTATCTTTTGCTTTATTGTCATAAATAGTATGTTAACCTAGAGCCTCAGACTAAACTCTTCCCTTTTGTACACCAAAACCACACTTGAGTCCCAGGATTGTAGAACTGCTACATCAGTGCATGCGCACATACATGTTCAGATGGTCTCATGACCTGAGGTGACATTTGGTCACCCTCAAAATCTTACTTTGTCCATCCCCACTGGACCAGATTTTCTGTCCTCCTTTATCCACCCAGCCTCTGGTAATAATGGGGCCTTCTGCACAACGGGCCCAGTTAGCTATCCACATGCACTCGTACCTGCAGCCATCCCCAAGAGTTTGAGAATGTGATGGCTGGCCTCCCAAAGGTTTTTTTTTCTATGTAAAACCCATCAGTGGCACAAGTCACTGGCGTTTTATAAGACAATTCCTGCTTCCACCCCAGACTATCTTACTGCTGCATGAATGCTGCTGCACATCCTGGTATCTCAGCCCTGCCACCTTCACTAATAAGGAGAGTTTCTTATGAAATACCAAGTCAGGCTGCATAGAGTGGTCACAGATAGGATGTGTACATGAAACGTAAAGCAAATGGGTGTGTTCCATGAGGGGCAGGCAGGTGGGCTGTGTGCACTCAGTGCTGGGGGAGGACTGTAGCTGCTTTCATGCAGGTATGAACACTTAGTCATGCTGAATTCCTAGCACCAAACCAAGCCCTTGCTCCACTCTGGAATGCTGGGTTCTGGGAGAGTGTGAAGCTGGAGCAGCTGAGCGAAGGTGCTCTGAGCTATTCTGTCTGCAAAGGACACATGCAAGCAGAATGCTTCACGGTGCTGGTGAGGAGTGTGCTGTTTAGTGCTCCTGACCTGCTGGTGCTACAGCATGCTGGCAGGTGTACAGGGATGGGGGAAACCTGGCCATGCTCCCAGCAAGGAGCACTGGTGTTAGGCTATACCTTGGACCTGTGCAGGTGTCCTGGGAGAGGGGAAAGAGGCTTCCTGTTCCTTCTTTCCTCCCCCTCCTCCTTTTCTATAGGGCATCTGTGTCAGAAAGGGCAAAAGTTAGTGCATACTCTGTTTGTGACTGTGCAGTGTAAATAGTATTCTGAGCATAGAAGGAAGTTTTACAGAGAGTGTGTGTGTGTGTGTATATATATACCCAAGGGGGCCTGGATGTTGAACAACTTGCTAGTTAAGTGAACACGCACGCAATGTAATCTGCTCAGCAATGACTAGAGGAGCGGCCAGAGCTGCATTTTCTCTGGAGATCAGAGAGCTTTGCTCTTACTTGGTTTTCTGACTCAATTTCTGTAAAAACAAGAAGCAAGACAGCAGCCAAGTCCTTCTGAGGACACACACAAACTCCTCTGCATTTGTCTCACTTTCTTTCAGCATGATGGTATTGACATGCAATTACTTCCATACGCAGGGCCGGCTCCAGGCACCAGCCCACTAAGCTTGTGCTTGGGGCGGCACCTGGAGGAGGGCGGCGCGGCGCTCCGGCCGCCGGGGAGAGCGGGGCCACGGCCGGGCTCGCCACCCTCCCCCCGGCGCTCTGGCCACCCTCCCCCCTGGCTCCCTCCCCCCGGCCACCGGGGGGAGAGCGGCGAGCCCCGGCAGGGGCTCGCCGCCCTCTCGCCACCCTGCCCCCAGTGCTCTGGCCGCCGGGGGGAGAGCGGAGCCCCGGCCGGGGCTCGCCGCCCTGCCCCCGGCGCTGTGGCCGCCCTCTGGCTCGCTGGGGGGGGGGCGGCCGGAGGCTTTTTTGCCTGGGGCGGCAAAAAAGCCGGAGCCGGCCCTGTCCATACGAACTGCATTCTTGAATTGTTTTTAATGCCTTTCTTCATACTATGTGATGCTATTTTTGTCTGCTCAACAGGGTCCCATTGGCTATCGCAGCAGCAATCCTGCTACGTTAAAGTGTGTCTGGTGTGTTCCAACTACCTCACCATTCTGAAAATGAGTTAGGAAAGCAGCTTGCCACCCCCACGCATGCTCTAAATGACGTTGTTTCAGGGAAAGGCCTTATGCCAATTAGCAAGGTGGAGAGCTTCTAAAATCTCAGTAGCATGGAAGCTGTTTATAAAGCTTCCCATCAAATATGGCTGTAAAGATGTCTTTGGATAACACAGGTGCTACTGGATATTGCAGTAGAGTAGTATCAGAACAAGGCAGTAAGAAGGTCCACAAGACAGTACAGCCAAATGTTAGACTAAGGCAATAATAAGATACCCAAGGCTAGTGCAGCAAAGTACTCTCTGTATATAAGGTCCCACGGAATCCTGCAGTAAAGTGGTATCTGGACAATGCAACCATAAGATGTCACAGCATTCCAGTATATAATAATACCAGGATAAATGTAGCAATAAGGCAACACAGGACACTGAAGTAAGGTAGTATTAGGATAATGCATGAATAAGGCACCATTGGGATGCTGCAGTAAATTAGTTTGGGGATAATACAGTAATAGTGTGTGCCAGGAAACTGTGATACATGAGGAGCAGGGTAGTACAGCACTACGATACCACCACATGCCGCAGTAATAAGGTGCTGCAGTGAGTAATAGCAAGATGAAGCCGTAGTAGGATGCTGCAGTTAAATAATATCAGGCTGCTAAGATGCTGCAGTCAAATACCACAAGATACTGTCAATGGATAATGGAGACAAAATATGCTTCCACTCCAGACTACAAAAAAAGTTGCTGCAAGGTAACCAGAAATGTTTTAGTCCTCGCTACACTTCTTCATTTGTCAGTTTGCTTTCACTGAAGCTGGGGTAGTAGGACTCCAACACAGCGCTCATGGCTATTGTCTAAAAATAAACAACTGAACTCAAATTGTCTGATCAGCTAACGTCTTATGGGCCGTATGCTTAAATTCTTCATTAGCCCTTAGTCTGGTAAAAGTCCCAGTAACTTAAATGGGATCTTTGCCTTGATCAGGACTTCAGGATTTGGTTCTATGATACTGAGGTTTAGGCGGTGGTTTTTGCATGCAATTATTTAGCTCCTGCAAGCAGCAAGAAACAGACTATTAATTTTACTGTCCTGCTTCCTGAAATGCACAAATAAAATGAGCAGCCTGGAAAATTGAATCCTGTTCACTCACTCTCATGCATGCACACTCACCCGCGCACTCTCTCTCTCTCTTTTGTCCACTGACGTCTCTGTGGGCCATTGAGCCTAACCACGGTAAGGAGTCTGAACAGCACTCTGAAAGGCACAGGTCTGACGTCTCCCCACTGAGTCTGGTCTGGATTCCCTGCATAGCGTAGTGTTTCCTGTCTTTTTTGTTTATTGTTTACTCCAATTGTGTTTTATGTATGCTTAGACGAAATCGTGACATTGATTTGCCACAAGGCGGCATGTATGATGTTGGGTGACTAGACTACGAATCCATTGCTGTTTGTGCACCATTGGGTCAAAGACTTCCCAGACTGTTGAGTGTCGTACCAGACAGGCATCCTATGTAAGGGCTCATCAGAAACTAAAGCAAAGTCAGCAAGACTTGCACAGTTTGTGTATTAGCTAGATAGAACAATGATTTCTTGGGGCAGGGGAGGGGATGTAAATGGTGCATCTCTGCAATGTATTGAATAGCAGGGACAGATCACAGCTGGTTATGGCTCCATGAAACTGTCCCAGTGTCAACGTTCTGCCATTTCTTCCTGTCTCTAGACACAATAGCCTTACTGTCACTTTATGTAGTGCCCTCTTCCTAGATGGCATAGTCAGCTATAAATGGCTTGGTTCATGATTTGACTAATGTGGTAATGCCTTGGCTTGGCTCTGCCTTCAAACTCCTTGGCTTGCCCTAGTTTTGGTTTAATTATTAAGCAGGATTCTCACATGTTGCTAAACTATAGTGCAGGATAGGGTAGGTTGTTGTGATTTTTGTATTTTAAGCTGTGAGAGTTTGTGTAGCTTCGAAGCACTGTTTATAACCTGAGACTCAAAATAACCAAGACAGCTGCTCATCATAACTGTGAGCTATGTAAACAATATGCTAGGCTCAGGCCCATACAGTCCTTTGAACTTAGTGTTTGGAAGAACCACTTTGTTGTGAGAAAAGTAATCTTAGTGCAGGAGAAAGTCAAAACTGATCAACTTTTCACATGCTGTAGCTTTAGCCTCCCGCTCCCAAACATCTGCAAAGCTCACAGCTAAGAGCCCGCAATCCTCTAATCCTGCTGATAAGTACTTGAAAACGAGCTTTCAAAGGTCTGCCTTTACATTCTGATCCTATTACTTGGGTGCTTTTAACATCAATTTATGGCTATCACCATAAGTGTCAGTGTGGCTGCCCTCTTGCCTCTGTGACAGAAGATTGTGGTCTCACCTCCCACAGAGGGCAGCTGGCTGGTGGACAGTATAAAAGGGAGGTAAGTGCATTACTAGAGGTTCCATCCTTTGGCTGGGATGCTAAACTGAGCTCTCTTCTGCCCGTCCACAGGAGCTAGACCAGTGAGAGAGCTAACGATTTCATGATGGGTTTTTTTAAATGGTAGCTAAGAACCCTGACCAGCACTGTCAAGGAAAGAGGCTCTAGCTTTGTCTAGACTAGGATTTCAGGTGTGATGTTAGCTATCATGTGCTAACATCACCCCTTTAAATCTCAGGCTCGACAATGCCTCTTACGTCTGCTCTATTTTTAGGTTGTTGCTGAGAGCAGAGTGGGCTGCCTTCTTATCTTATGCAATGAGACCGTCTAACTACAGCCCCAAACTCTTCTGTATGTAGACATAATTCCCCCTTGAAGCAGCCAAGGGTCTAAAATGACTCTGTGTTGTTCTGAAGTCACTTTAGGCCAAACCTTGAAAAATGAAAACCTGGAGGCTTTTTTTCTGAGAAAATTGTGCTGAAATGCAGGAGTGGGGAAAGGAAAGCCCTTCGCCACTGTGTAATTTAGGGCACCCAGAGCTGTGTAGCAAGCTCCAGGCTAGCTACCAGTGGCTAATGGACCCCCTCTGCTGCTCCCTTCCAACATGGGTTGGGTCTTTGTGAGTTCCCTCTGAACCAAATCTGAGTTCCTTCTCTGGAATGCAGGGGGCTCCATACACTGCAGAACCAGCACCGTGGTCTGCTGCATTGGCACAAAGCAAGATTTAGAGGCTCATCCTGTGGAACCCAGCTCCTCAGCGCAGGGCTGCCCAGAGGATTCAGGGGGCCTGGGGCAAAGCAATTTTGGGGGCCCCTTCCATAAAAAATGTTGCAATACTATAGAATACTATATTCTCGTGGGGGCCCCTGTGGGGCCCGGGGCCTGGGGCAAATTGCCCCACTTGCCCCCCCCCCTCTGGGCGGCCCTGCCTCAGCGGTGCTATGAGCAACTACTGCATTAAGGGCAGCAAAGGGGTGGCGAGGCTGGGCCAAGGGAGGGCTGGGGACAGTGAATCTCTCACTAATGGATCCATGAATCAGTGCCACTTCAGGAGCAGTGTTACAATCGGCACAGGGGTTACTGCAGCCTCAGCGTGGATCCACAACCACTCCCCACTGTTCAATCTGTGTGCTGATTCCCAGGCTTTGGGCTTTTGTGCATGACCCCCCCCACACACACACAATCCTCCTATCCTCCACCATGTTGTCCAGGATTGCCCCAGATGTCTGCTCCACAGTGCATTGGGAAGGAGGGGGACTCTGTGTGTGAACTCTGCTGCCTGGCCCTCCAGCGCAATGGAAATGTATCAGTGCCTCTGAGTATTTTTGGCCTTAAGCAGGCATGGAAGCGTGTTTAAGATTTAGTCTTTTGAGATTTCTAGGGAAGGCTTAGAGCCAGCTGGAAGGTGCTAGAGCACAGCTTTGCCTTCTACCACGAATGAGTGGGTAGCACTCTGCATGCTCAGACTGCAGGGACTGTAGAATGGGTGTTGTGATACCACAGTGCAGCCATCACAGCATTTGTGCTCTCTGCTTTCATTTTGGAGGTAATGTAACCCTTGGTTATATGGCTTTTTGTGGCCTATTGATTGTAAACAAAACTCATAATATCAGGAAAATACAAGCCAATGCAAAGGTTTTACTCAGAGTTGGGAGGTTCAATTAACTAACTGAAATTTAGCTGCTAGAATCTACCCACTCTCCTCAGTACGCTCCCACCCCAGATTGCAATCACTGTTGTTCTTAACCCCCAAGCTACCCACAAGAACGCCGGCATCTCACTTGGCCACTCTGCAGCCTGCTCTGCTATCTTTAATAATCTGGGAAGTAGTAAATCAGAAAACTGAACCCTGATGTGAATATTGCCTTATAATCATAGATGGGGCTGCAGACGTCTGGTATGGATCAATGATTGTGAATGCCCCAGAATTCTGAGGTGTTTGGAACAAAGTTTTACTTCTTACGAAGACTTACTGTACAACTGTTCACATACTAAAGCATCAGATGCTACCCCAATAGATTCCACTCTCGTCCCAGCTGAGAGTCCTCGCCACTTCACAAAACTGTCTCATTTCCTTCCCCCACAGAAGTTGGTTGTTGGGGTCAACAGACTGATTCAGAGTTGTCTTCCTTCAGTTTCCTTCTGCAGAACTGAGTGTGGTGTCTCTGCAGGATGTCTAGCCTAGGCTGGTCTGGACACACAGGACAAGTACAGGCCAGGAGATGTGATGCGCTGTCAATAGACCTCTGAGTGGCCCGCAGTTGAGCGCATTCATACTCACTGAGAAATCAGACTCAGGAGGGTTGCTACTTCTCGCTCTTTATCCTGAAGGACAAATTTGTTTGCTTATTTTACATATCTTCAGGCAATTCTAGGGCACTCGTCACCAAGTACCTGAGTGCCTTTTTGTTGCCTCACAACAGTAGGATGTTGCATCACCATATCATCGATGTTGCCTCAGTCCCCACTGGTTCAGCTCCTAGCAGCCTCTCTTCATTCTCAGCTGCCTCCCTCCCTCAGTAAATCTCACCCTGCTTGCCTATCCTGTGCCCACCTTTTAGGAAAATCTGATTGTTTAGATAGGAGGGTCACATCAAGATCTGCCTGATAAATCTGACTGAAGGACTTTGCACTGTATTGAAAACATTCCGATAAGGAGCTGCTTTGTGCCTTATACAAACGTTATGATTAAAAATAAATTTGAAGGACTTGGCTCATCTTAGGCCCTAATTGTCCAAATCTAAAACCCACTGCATAGTTTGGCTCAATGAGCAGTTTCAGCCCAGGAGTGGCATATTGGCAGAACTAACTGGGTGCACAATGCTGGTGCTGGTCTTTGCTGTCATTTTCTTACTTTCAGGACAACTAGTCACTGACAGCATCCTTGTATGTTGTACCAGGGAAGAGAACACAACCCCTTTCAGGCTGCCAGGAACAGTGTGTGTCAGGTTTCAGACATTTGACCTCCCACCCCAGGGCACTAATAGGCTTTGGGAAAGTGGTCTATGATTTGAGATAACAGGTGCTTTCTGCAGGTCTAGACTGTTCATGTCTGCCTAACCAAAAGCACCTCACCCACCCCAGCTCACACAGACTTCTAAAAATTAAAAAACAATGGAAGATCTTAACACTCAGAACATCTGCAAAGTGCACCCCACCCTTTTACATGCCTGGAACCATGGAGCACCTTCTCAGACCTACTGAAGGTTCCTCACCCTCCCACCTGTCTCTGAATGCTTAACTACTCCACCCAGATCTAGAACCTTCATGCTAAACTCCCCATCCTGCCCCTCTTAACACTCCCAGTTTCCAGGTGTCATCCATAAATTGGCACAGTTTCATATATTCCTTTAACTCAAAGGGTTAACACAGCTTTCTATAAAGTAGCATAGCAAACTGTGGTTTATCATATGTGCACCAAATTATCTGACTATGGAAGAGTCAGTATAGTGACCCGAGTGTTACCAACAGTAAATCTGTAACCATCAAACAGAATGAAGAATTGGTTGCATGTACTTTTCTTTCTCTACATCTATATTATTAAACAGATCTAGTGAATCCGGTGGCAGAGCATTTTTCATCCCCAGGAGACAAGGTTTGGGCGTGAATTCTTGTTCCCAGGGCGTTGGGGGCTATGTCGTGTCACAGGCGTGATGTGTCCTGGGGTAAAGGAAACCAGTTTAGCAACCGCCTCTTGACTCTTTGCCAGAGATGGCACAGTGCGTCACTCATGGCATCTCTGCAGGCCAATGTCATGTGACACATCCTCCCCTCCCCACAGTGGCCAAGCAAACAGTTCCCAGAAAGTGGCTGCATTACTATATTAAGGTGTTCCTGCTCTTGGATTCCACAGAAACAAAGCAATACCTTCACTAAGTAGAACACCGTGGTCTCTGTGTAAAAAGAAAGGAAAATCCAAAGGAAAGATTGAGCTTTGAGCCTTGCATTTGCATTCAGCGTCGACATGACCGATTTCCTCTTCTTGGAAAGCAGCTTTGGCAT